ATTGGAAACTGACACCTTTATTATAAACACAATCCTAGATAGACTGTTCGTATTTTACAAGTAAGTTCACAAACTAACCAATAACCCAATTCACTGAAGAACTGTGTGTGTGTGTGTGTTTAAGAGACAGGTTCATATGGGTCTTTTTAATCTGGGCTACATTTTCTTTTTAATTTTACTTGAGAAGAGGCTCAACTGCAATGTGCTGAAGGCTTCTCACCCATTCCAAAAGCTCTTCCAGGCACAGTCTTGGAGATTATACCCCATATTCCAAAGCTTAGCTGTGGCACCAAAATTAATGAATACCACATAATGAAAAATCTCACCAATTAAACTGGTTCATTATTTTTTTAAGAAGAACATAATAGAAGATTATGATATATTTTCACAATTCTCTTTTGCTGACTTTATCACTTTAAACCATGTAGTTCAATTAGCTGTGCAACTGCTCAGAATTTAACTGTTAAAGGCTAAATTATTCTCTTTAATTACTTTATACAATACCATATACAGTTACTTTACGGAAATATTTAAAGGTCATAGCTCCCTGCAGATGGGTTTGCCTTACTTACCCCTTGCAGCTGATTTGCCTGAAGAATCTCTGATACTGAAACAGCCAGACAGAGAGCCTGACTCAGATCTGCATCATCATCCTTAATTCCCAACAGAGTACTACCAAAGAGATGATGATTATCCTATGTAAGAGAAAACTTTCAACATTACAAAGAGAAACATCAAAACATTCTTCCTAAAAATACTTTTACTGGGGGCTAGAGAGACACACAGAGGTTAAGAGCATTGGCTGCTCTAGGCAGCTAACAACCATTCCAAGGATCAAATGCCCTCTTCTGGTTCCTGTTGCATTTCTATACAATTATTTACCAGTATCTATAATTAAATACTAAAATTTCAGTGTTGGGGATGTGAGTAGTAGAGCAAGTTTGCCCAGTATGCTAAAGACACTGGGTTTACCTGGCATGGTAGTACATACTTGTAATCCCAGCACTCAGGAGGCTGAGGCAGGAGCATTGCCATGAGTTGCAGGTCAGTCAGGGCTACATAACAAGACCAGTCTTAAAAGAAAAAAAAAAAAAAATAGGAACTGGGGAGATGTCTCAGCAGTTATGAGCACTGGCTGCTCTTGCAGAGGACCAGAGTTCAATTCCAAGCACCCACATGGTGGCTAACAACCATCTGTAACTAACTTCATTTCTAGGGGATCCAATGCCCTCTTCTGACCTCTGAGGGACTGCATGACACAGGTGCACTTACACAACACAGGTGCACTTATATACATATAGGCAATACATTCATACACAAAAAATAAAAATAATGAATAAAATATTTTTAAAGTAGGAAAAAAAGAAAATGAGAGAGAAACTGTGGTGGGTTCAAATTCCACCACTCGGGGGTTGGGGTGGAGCAAATAACTTTCCATATCTTTAAGTGACAATGTGGTAGAAATTATACAATAATTATATAAACCATGCAAAATACTGCTCTCTGGCCACATCTAACATGCAACTGCTAGAGCAGATTGTCTCTATGTCTAAAGAATAAACAGTGCCCTTTGAAAACACTGAGAAGCAGAGCATGTGGCTCATTCCCATAATCCTAGCCCTAGGGAAGCTGAGGCAAGAAGATCAGAGTTCAAGATCAGCCTGGGTTACATAGTGATATCTGGGCCAGCTTGGGCTACAGGGTAAGACTCTGTATCAAAAAACCAAAAGCGAAATAAATAAAACACTGGTAATACAAAGAATAAGAGGTCTTCTTTATCCTGCATACCCAATTATTATTCCACTATTTGATTTACCTAACATTGTGGAAACAGAAGTGATCTACACAAGGAAAGTCTCCTAAGTGCTGGGATTAAAGGCACAGACCACCATGTCCGGTTTCACTTTATTTTTCTGAGACACTATCTGTTACTGAACTTGGAGCTAAGGAATTCTGCTAGGCTGTTCGGTCAACAATATCCAGGGATCCTCCTGTCTCTGCCCCATCTGACTTCATCATCACATGCTGGTATTACAGATGCAAATTGCCACACCATTTTTATATGGATGCTAAGGATCTGAATTCAGGTCCTCATGCTTATTAGATACTAAGCACTTTACTGAACAAGCCATCTCTCCAGCCCTACATAATGTTTTATTTTTATTTGTTGGTCTTTTTGAGACAGGGTTTCCCTGGCACTTGCTATGTAGACCAGGCTGACTTCAATCTCACAGAGATCTTCCTGCCTCTGCCTCCCAAGTTCTAGACTAAAGGTGTATGCCACCATGACTGGCTATTTTTCTTTTCTTTTTTTTTTTTGAGGTAGTCACAAGAAACTGAAGCTGGCCTTGAACTCATTATATAGCTGAGGATGACTGTGAACTCCCAATCCTCCTGTCTCTACCTCCCAAGTCATGGGATACAGGCTGTGTCATTTATACCTGGCCATTTTTTTTTAAGGAAAGATAGTTTATTGAGCATTCTTCAGAGAGCAGTGGGCTGGGCAGTAACTATAGTACCACTTGCTCACTTACAGTCTTAATTTAAAAAAATTCATTTGTTATCATTGTGTATGCATGTGCTACAATGTGCATGTGGATGTCATAGGACATTTTTTAGCATATAATAAATGATGCACAAAATAATGAGTTTCATTGTGACATTTTCATACATGCATATAACATACTTTGATCATATCTACTCTCCTTACCTCTCTATCCCCTGTCTGAGAAATGTTCTTAAAAGATTAACCTTACCTCTGAGACACACTGTTTTGGCCATAATTTGATTTTATGTTGATGTGTCAGTGACATGACTACCAACTATGAGTTACTATGGAAAATGTTTAAACAACAACAAAAAGACAACAGTGGGCCCTCCCTGAGTCACTGAGGCCAGTCTAACTTGTAGGATTTTTATGAATAACACTATATGGCTCCTTTCTATAGCTTTTGCTTCCTAGAATGTTATTCCCAGGGACTCACAGCCTCTCCTGAAAGCACCTGTCTAGTGCATGAATCTAGGTCTCTAAGAGGTGAAAGGACCCTTTCATCATTTATGAGACAGCTCTGTATCTCATGATTACCCAAGGCTGAACTCCATATAAAGGAGGGATAACTATACACCCTTCATTAGATCTTTGTAATATAATTTCCAAGGTCACAAAAGCACTAATTTAGGAAATATCTAAATCAAAGTGGGGCTGGAGGGATGGTCAGTGGATGGGAACACAGTCTGCTCTGGTAGAGGACTGAGTTCGGTTCCCAAACCCACATGGCAGCTAACAACCATCAGTAGTTCCAGTTCTAGGGGATCCAACGCCCTCTTCTGACATCCTTGGTCATTGCAAGAGATGGATGCTCTTATACATGTAGGCAATACACTCATACACATTTTGTAAAAAGGTAAAGAGCAAGGGAGGAAAAAAAAAGTAGAAAATGGGGTTTGGCAGTTAAGAATACTTATTGCTTTTCCAGAGGACCTGAACTTGATTCCCAGGACCACACCAGGTGGCTCAGTGGATCAGATGACTTCTTCTGCCTCTGCAGGCACCTGCACTCAGATACACACACACACGCACGCACGCACGCATGCATGCACACATGCACTGTTAAAAAACATAAAAGTAAATATTTTTAAAAAGGAGAAAATAATGATAATTTGAGTATTTTAACTGAGTTGAATACAAAGTGAACAAGAAGAGTGCATGAAACATCAAGTTCAGGCCAGCTGGTCATTCCTTATGTTTTACCTTCCGAAAAGAAGCTGGTGTTTTACTGCAGTAATACTGAGCCAAAGAGAAGAGGTCTTCTATATCTTCTAGATTCAAACTGGATGGAGTATTTTCCAAAAAGTCTGAAATACAATTACAGATATGACTACATTTAATGATTTGTGAAAAATATAATAACATCATTTAAATTTAAAGCTAAAATATTTCCAACATAATAAGGAACACAAAAAGGGAATCTTAACAGTGATGCTACTTATGAAGTGTTCTCTCTTTTTTTCTTCAGACAATGCTAGGATTGAACCCAGGGTCTTGTATATACTAGCTAAGTGCTTTACCACTGAGCTACAGTCCCAGCCTAACAGTGATGCTTTTTTTCCTTTTTAGTATTTACACTTTCTACAATTACTGGTTTATTAGCACTACCCAGAACTCAAGATGTTTAGCATTCCTCCTGAAATTATATAAACAAATGCCAATGGAAATACTCCAAATCAAAATTATATAACCAAACAGTATTCTATCCCAAAAGCATGTATAATTACAGGAATGCTATTTATACCAGCACTATAAAAGAATGACAATTTCAAATACCACAAACTGCCAAATTGTTCCCTAAACTGCTAAGTAGATAAACACGACTCTAATGGATGAGTCTGGGTTTTTATAAAGAAAAATCAAATTCAAATAAATCAGTATAATATTCAAAGTTGTATAATATTATACAACTGGTATAATATTCAAATTTTATTGTACTTGGTTTATAATGGGGAAAACCCTAATATTAGAAAATATGACCTGCTTCAAATGCTGCATGAAAAATTTAAAAGCTGGATCGACCAGTTAAAAGTTTTTTTAAATGATGTCTCAAGTTTCCTGAGTAATTCATATTTAGATAGTGAGGAAAGACATTTACAGTCATTGCAGTGATGCTTTTAAAGCTGTTTATGGAAAAAATTTCCTCAAAGAAACTAAAACTTAATGCAATTCTCATTAGCACATAAGATAAAACTTGTAAGCTTAATCAGAATTCTCTGACTTATTTATTCCACAAATATATACAAGAAGGTAGGCCTCCTAAAACTCAAAAATGAGTAAGAATAGTTCTTACTTAGAGAATTTAACCTTGTGTAAGAAAATGAAAATAATTGTAGCTGGTACAAAATGTCAGGCAAAGTGAATAGAAGGAGCTGTTTCTGTAGGGTGAGAGTGGGCGAATTCAGAAGGGAAATTCAGAAGGAATTCAGAATTCACAAGAGAAATGGCAGACAGAGGACTGAAAGGTGCACCAAGCAGGGGTGGACAGTTCGGAGGACACGGTCTTTGATGCTGAAACCAAAGGAAGAGTATACAGCAACGTGTGAAAGACTGACCAGGATGAAGGAGGATGCATAATCAGGAAACCCGTCCTCTGTAAGGTTGTATCTGGAAAGTGTTTAAGGACATGAGAGGTGGATAGAACCTCGGAAGCTTTCTACACTAATCTTCTAAAATTATGGATAAGGAAACTGAGTTTTAGCTAGATTAAGTGACCTGAAATATTTTCTCCACATTATAATACTACTTACGGATAACTTCATCTTTGCTGTCAGACTCTTGAACTAAAATAATTTCTCTGTAAAAAGGAATCAAATGAATTTAAGTTAAATATTAAAGCACCATGACAAAAAATGAAAAACCAATCTAACTAACTTAATACTTACTTTGTATTAACAAGGATAATTAACATTAAGAAATAAATAAAAAATGGATCTGCTTGCTGTAGATATCCATCCCATATTGCCTGAGTGACTTCAATGGAACAGTAACGTGCAAAAAGGCTTCCAAGCTATAATCAGGAAATGAAATGAGAGACATAAACCACTGGAGCTTTTAAAGTTATAAAAGCAAACAAGTAAGTAATGTCACATCAGACATCTGCCCTAATATTTAATGTGTACCTTAACTTTAGTATAAGAAATCCAAAGGCAGAACACATGTACTCAAGGCACAATGGGTCACTTAACTAGCTCTGTGACTTAAGCATGTCATTTGACCTCATTAAAGCTTCCATTTCTACTTCTGTGAAAAACAAAGCAAAACAAAAAAACAAAAAAATAATACTCTTTTCTGGCACTGCTGCAAAAAAGGAGATAATTAACCAAGCATATATAGTGTAATTAACATACCTCTGTCATAGTAAAATAACTAGTATAATTACCTACAGAACTCTAAGGGTAATTAGCATATTATACTAATTATAATAAGCATTTAACTTTGAAGGTAATTTCAAGGATCAAGCACAGCATCTTAGGGTTACCTAATAAAACAACAACAATATCAATGCCAACTGTAAATAAGTCATTAAAACATATAGAGAAAAACTGGTATTTTCTTTTCTTTGGGGGGGGGTCTTTTTGAGACAGGGTCTCCCTTTAGCACCAGCTAGCCTGGAACTCACTATGTAGACCAGGCTGGCCTTGAACTCACAAAGATCTGCCTGCTTCTGCCTCTTGAGTGCTAGGATTAAAGGCACATGCCACCACTCCCAGAAAAATTGATTATTTTTCAATAGATTTTAAGAGCTCTATGGGTTTTGTATTTCAAATAAAAGAGTTACTAATTTATAAGTTTCCCTACAGCCTGTCTTTTAAACTGTATGAATTCAGTGATAATTTTATTAGATACTAAATTTTCACTGGACTCGGAAATAATTGCATCTAAAAGACTGTATTTAAAATAGTGAATGGCTAATAGGAATAAATATTTGGCATATACTTTGTACCAGGCACTAAGTTACTGTCACATTTTTTATTATCTTTAGTTCTCACAAAAGGCCTGAATAATACTTTTCTGCCCAGGCAAGGCATGGATGAAATAACTTTCGCAAGTGGTGTTGAGACTAGGAGAAAGGCCTGAAATGCCACAGGCCATCTATAATCACTCAACGGCCATCTATAATCACTCAACCAGGAAGCAAGCTAGCTTTCCCTCTCATCCATCTCTATCTATCTATCTATCTATCTATCTATCTATCTATCTATCTATCTATCTATCATCTATCTATCTATCATTATCTATCATCTATCTATCATCTATCTATCTATCTATCTATCTATCTATCTATCTATCTATCTATCAATCATCTATCTATCTATCATCATCATCTACCTAACTAATTCAAAATAACAATCTCACTGTGCAGCCCAGGATGGCCTTGAACTCACAGAGGTTGGCCTTCCTCTGCCTCCATGTGCCACCACACCCTGTTAAGGCTTTTAAAGTACAAAATGCTGCAAATACTTTTTGGTTTTGTTTGAAAAATACCTATTACAAATACAGATTAGAAGGTATGAACATAAACTAAGTAAAAATATATAGCCATCCTTAACCTCAGCAAAACTGTAGCCACCATGGAATTACTCAGTTATGGGTTCTCAAGATTTAAGAATTTAGTTTTAATAGTCTCATTTCATGATTTTTAAAAACCCTGCATTCCATCAACATGAAATTAGCAGCAAAACAAACTATCCGGTGGATCAATTAGAGGGAAACCAGTTGTTTTAGTACTTACTTTAAAGCCCCTGAAATAACAGAATACTAATTCAGAATTCTGGCACTAGAAATGTCATTTCCTAGGCAAATACCATATTAACCATCAAAATGCTTAAGAAATAATTTCTTATACTGGCATAAATACATTTAATGGCAACATATAAACCTCAGCTAAGCTACAATTTTATAGATTTCTTTTTTATTATTGTTATAGCTCAAAGTGACCAAGAGAGCTAAGGAAGAGGCTACTGAGGTTTGAGATTTGATGGGTCTGGAAATGGAACCAGTTAGGAGTCCCTAATTATCATTTCCTGATTTCTAAGATCATCCATCATCCACTCAGACAGGCACGATTATATTATTATTCCCATTTTACAGATGAAGAAATTGAAGCTCAGAAACTAAGTGTCTTAGATTACATTAGATTACAAAGAGGCAGAAACAGGTGTCTCCCCAAAGAAATGTTAGGTAAGACATGACCCAAGAATATGCTCAGTTTAAGTCTTCTAGCACTCCATCATTACTTTGGCAAGATCTTCAAGTTAGCCTAGAAGTGCAGTTCTCAAAGTGGTCTGAGGATCCTAGAAATCCTTCCTGGGAAATTTCTAAGTTACAACTATTTTCACAATAATTCTTAAGATTTTTTCTTGCCTATTTCACACTCATTCCCTCATAAATGAATCTCAGAAGATGACATGCCATCTTAACAAGTTGAACAAAGAAAGTTACATGAAGTCGCCTGTCTTTGATCAACCAAACATTACTGAAACATGAAAATACAAAGTAAAGCAACCAGTCTCAGTACTGCCTTCAGGAAATGTAGTCATTTTTCATTGTAAAATATGCTATTTATGTCAACATGTAACAGATTTATGGTTACCTTTTTTTTTTTTTTTTTTTTGTGATAGGGTCTCCATAGTCCCAGCCAACCTGTAAGCCAGGATGTGGACCAGACCAGGCTGGATCCACATAACATAAGATTCCTTAAATTTATTTCCTAATCAACATAATCCATATGAACAACGGATCATCCAAAATTTTAAGTGTGTAAGGGGGTCCCAAGACTCAACGATCTGAGAAACCACAAAATCTAGAATAAGATTTTCCACTGAAAATACAAATATATAAGGCCGGATGTGGTGGCGCATGTCTTTAATCCCAGCACTCCAGAGGAAGAGGCTGGTGGAGCTCTGTCAGTTCAAGGCCAGTTTGGTCTAAATAGCGTGTTCTAGGCCTGTTGGAGCTACAGGGAGACCCTGTCTCAAAAAAAAAAAAAAAGTAAAAATTAAATAAAAATAGAAAAATAAAACAAATATACAAGGGAAAGCATTCATTTGTATTTTATATTAACCACTTGGCAATTTTAGGTTTTTATCCCAACTATTTACCAGTTCTTATATATACTATCAACAGTTTAAACACAAAATTTCAAACAGAACTGAGATGTGTGTTTACAAATATTGTATGCATATATTTACAGAAATATAGGAATTAGGTGTTTTGTTGTTGGTTGGTTGGTTGTTTGAGACAGGGTCTCTGTAGCCCTAGTTGGCATGAAACTTGCTATATAGACCAGGCTTGCCTCAGTGTCACAAAACTCTGCCTGTTTCTGTCTCCTGAGTGCTTGGATTAAAGGCATGCACCACCATACTTCGCAGAAATTAGTTTTAATACATATTATAAAAGTACATAAATACTTAATATTCACTAATATATACTAAATAAATACTAGTTCTGTTTCTATATATGTGTAAAACAACAAAATCCTAAAGCTGTTTTATGCAGGGTCTTAGCTACACATAGCTCAGACTGCCCTTGAACCCACAATTCTCCTGCCTCAGCCTCTTGAGTGTTGAGAATACAAGCTTTTTTTTTTTTGGTCTTTTTGAGACAGGGTCTCTCTGTAACCCCAGCTGGCCTGGAACTCACAAAGTATACCAGGCTGGGCCTTGAACTCACAGAGTTCTTCCTCCTGAGTGCTGGGATTAAAGTTGTGTGTCTTCACGCCCAGCCACAAGCATGTTTTTTATCATGCCTGGAAAAAAGACTAAACGTCATATAAAATAATTTGAACATGAGTGAAAAGCAAAAAAAAAAAGAAATTAATCAGAAGAGTCAGTAATTTTACTTATTTGGTTTAGGTAGTAATGGTCTATGACTTAGTTTTTCTTTCTGTTCCTTGAATAAAAACACTAACTATAGTTTTATATAAACTATTTTTCATTAAGTGTTCCTACTTTCACTTTATTACCCAGTTGAGTGCATAGGAGTCTGGAGTGATTTTCTTTGTATCAAGAAAAGAACAAAGTTCAGGCTCATGGTATTGGATGAGTAATCGGAAGAGATGAAATGGCCTCCCCTTCAGGGAACAATCCCTAGAAGACAAGAGAAGCAAAGTTTGCTCATTACTAGGTCAGAAATTATCACATTGGTATTCAATCCTGCAATACCCATCTCCTTCCTCACCCAGAGAATATCCTAACAGTCACAGCAAGCCTACCTGATAGACCCCGGGTAAAGCTTTCTTAATAACACTTTTTTTTTTTTTTTGAGACAGGGTCTCCCCTGTAGCCCCATCTGGTCTAAAATTCACTGGGTAGACCAGGTGGGCCACAATCTCACAGAGGTTGGCCTGCCTCTGCCTCCCAAGCTCTGGGACTAAAGGCGTGTGCCATGCCAGACTGCTAACACCTTTTAACAGACATTGTTTACAGTTGTTATACAGTCACCTGAGGGAGATTCTCTCCAGGCAGACCCAGGAAACATTCAAGTAAGAGTACTATAGAAGTCACTGAATACTGCACTTAGGTTACTGTGGCAGTTAGGATCCCCAAAGATCTAGAGAACCCAATGAGTCCAACATCCCCCTTCCTTGTCAAGTAAGAAAAAATTCCTCATAAGGCTTCCATTTGCCCCATAGTTTATATACGGAAATAGGAATGGCTTTAAGCAAACGTGCAAGTCTGAAATGATCACAGGTGAACATTTCTGAACAATGACCTCAAGGATTAGAAACTGTCACAGTGGCCTGGGTACCAGGTGCCCAGAGTAAATCTTAGAAAGCACTAAAAGCTCAGCTTACAAAGGGTTATTGTGACAGTAAGATGAGAAAGTGCAATTTATAAATACTGTTTTAAAGTAAAATGCACTAACTATATACTCTGACATTTTTATTATCACAAGAACTTTTCCCACAGAAATATCGCACTCTTGTACAGATACTTCAAAAGCAGAGATAACTCCAACAGGCACAGACATGCATTCTGACCCTTGAATTTCCCACAGCTTCTGGCCATTCTCTCAGGACGCATCTCAGTCAGCTTTAAGCAGCTCCTCTGCCCAGGGGTCATGGTAGCCACCCAAACTCTGCCCTCAAAGGCATCCTCCCGACACTAAGTACCCACACGTCTGAGCCCAAAGAAGACAACTCCTTGGCACAGGTCCAGAGCTGGTCCACACACTAGGTTCACGAGTCAGGACACAAAGTTGCTTCCTTCTTACTCTGTCGTCTCTGGCTTTGAACTCAGAAGACTTATGGACAAGGCTTATGGACTAACTCCCAACTTAGCAGCATTCATCGAGATCTTCGTGTGCTGAAGATTTGGTCAGTGTGTTTATGTTATATTTACATGTTAGTGTGTATATGTTCCATTCATTCATTCATTCATTCATTCATTCATTCATTCATTGTTTTTTGAAACACAGTTTCCCTGTAGCCCAAGCTGACCTGGAACCTGCTATGTAGACCAGGCTGGCCTCAATCTCACAGAGATCTGCCTGCCTCTGCTTCCTGAGTGCTGGGATTAAAGCCATGTGACACCACACCCGGCTTTTGATTACGTTCACCACACCTAAAAACATGGCAAATCAATCTATCAAAAGATAGCAGATTTTTGGTAGCATGAGCTCACTGGCTACAGAGATATTTTTAATCACTACAACTGAAAACAAAAAGCACTGAAAAAACAGTTACTTTGGACAGTTTGGTTTGTTCAAGTATGGTGCTACTGTGAACAAAGTGATGACTAAGTTGCTCTTCTTTGGACCAGTAGGCTCTCTCATGAGCCAGCTGCCATAAACTACTCCATTCAGCTTTTGTACTGAGATGCATCCTACTCATTACAAGGGAATGAAGAAAGAATGCTGTCCAATGAACTAGTGAATTATTAACGCATAGGCCATGACAATAAAAGTTGATTATTGAAGAACTACTACCACTGTAATAAGCACTTTACAAAGTGATTTCATCTTATCTTCACAGACAACTTTATAAAATCGATATCCATTGAGTCCCGGGCATGGTGGCGCATACCTTTAATCCCAGCCCTCGGAGGTAGGCAGGCAGATCTCTGTGAGTTCGAGGCCAGCCTGGTCTACATAGCAAGTTTCAGGCCAGCTGGGGCTACAGGGAGACCCTGTCTCAAAAAAAAAAAAAAAAAAAAAAAATCTACCCATTTTAGAAATGAAAATACTGAAGCTTAGTTGAGGTCAAGTTGTCACTAAAGATCACACAACTAATAAGTTACAGAAGTATGAGTTATATACAGAAACTGGGAATTAATCATAATATAATACTGCCAACTTAGTATTTCAACATGTAGTATTCTTACAATGAATATAGTCTCTCTCTCTCTCTCTTTTTTTTTCTTTTTTTGAGACAGGTGGATCCCTGAAGCCCTAGCTGGCCTGGAACACACTATGTAGACCAGGCTAGCCTTGAACTTACAGGGATCCACCTGCTTCTGCCTCCTGAATGCTGGGATTAAAGGCATGTGCTACCATGCCTGGAATACAGTCTCTTTTTTAAAAATTCTTTTGATTTATTTTTTATTTTATGTGTATGAGTGCTTTGCCTGCATGTATTTAAGTACACCCATGTCACGCAATGCCTATGGAAGCCAGCAGAGGGCATTGGCTCTTCTGGAACTGGAGTTACAAATGGCTATCAGCAGCCATGTGGGAATCAAACCTGTGTCCTCTGCAAGATCAGCCAGTGCTCTTAACTGCTGAACCATCTCTCTAGCCCTGGGGGTGGGGTGGGGCTATAAAAAGCAAACTTTAATGTTAAAGCATCAGGGCCAGCAAGATAGCTCAGAGGGTAAAGGTGCTTGCCACTAAGCCTGATGACCTGAATTCTATTCCCAGAACCTGCATGGTGGAAAGATAGAACTCTCACAGGTTGTCTTCTGACTTCCACACACATGCTGCAGCATACACATGTGTGTATACATACAGCAAATAAATAAATAAATAAATGTAAAAAAAAACATTAAGGAATATTATTAAATATCTTTCATGAGGGGATGGAAAAATGTGTGAGGACATGGGTTCAACTCAGAGTGCTGCAAAAATAAAATATATACATCATCATGTCCAGTTTTTAATCCATCCCTTTTGAAACTACAGAAGGCAGTACATAGAAGGCCCAGGTTGATAATTCTGATGGCCACAGACAGAAGTGGATTCATAATTGGTGAGAATAACTCCTTAGTCTGAATACTGTCCCCACTATATAAATGCAAAGTAATAGAATGCTAAACAAGAACCCAGAAATGGGCAGAAAGTAAGGGACATAAATAGTTGCTTAGTTCCTGGTCTCACCTTTTGAAAACGTGAGCATTTCTGGGAGTCACAGAAGCATCTACCATTCATTTAATGGCTGTAGACTGCAAACTCACCTCAACTACTGTGTTTGTGCTTGATAGAACTCTGCCTCTCTATGTCCCGGTCTGGAGTAAGAGGAAAAATGGGGTTCTTCTAGCAGCACTCTGTGGGCCTCAGTGTTCTCTCTACCAACAATGGCTAGAGTGCTGTGTTAAATGTAAAACTCACAGCAAAAGGAGCTGGAAAAGGCGGTATGTTTTATAGCTGCCACCATACATTAGAAACAATGCTAGAATATCATGTCTCTTGCTACAATCAGCTCAGTTATACTCAGAGGTGGCCATAGAAGTACTAAAATATAATTATTTCCATTACTTCCTTTTCATATAAAAGTAGACTGGGTAGAACCTTTGCACAGATCTTTTTTCAAAGTTCCTCTGGAGATTACAGCTACATTACAGTGAGAACTTTTTTCCTTCCTTGAAGCGATATTCCTCTATGTAAGGAAAACAGACCCAAAGATACTAAAAGACAAGGCCATGATCATGGCAGAGCTGAGACTGATTCCTATTTAGGAATCATTCTGTCATCCTAGTTGGCAGATCCTGAGGGTAAGTTAGATCACCCACATTATACATTCCCATAGCATTCACTTTCCTAAGACTCAGCACATTTCAACTTATATGTTCAGTATCTGTGTATCTATGACTACATTCCTACCTGTAAATCTAGCATCTCAGATAAGCTGGCACTTCCAAAATCTTTTTACTTAGATACCATAATGTTATTTGTATTCTTTAGGTAAGGCATTAAAGATAACACTGAATAAACCTGAAATTATTCTATAAATATAAACTCCCATAGTGCAGATACCTAATAAGAATCTTTTAAAAAAAAACTGTAACCACAAAAACAAAGTCAAATAACAATACTTCAAATAACCTAAAAAATAACTTGAAGGGCTGGAGAGATGGCTCAGTGGTTAAGAGCACTGGGTATTCTTGTAGAAGACTTGATTTTGAATCCCAGCACCCACATGATGGCTAACAACCGTCCATAGCTCCAGTTCCAGGGAACCCTACACCCGTTTCTGTCCTCATGGGTGCACTTACACATATGCAGGCATAACATTCATACACATAAAATAAAAAAGTAACTTGACCCTTTTACTTTACTATCAAAAGAAATCTAACAATTTTATTTCAAAGCAAAACAGATCTTTATTCACTTTTAAAACTATAACCAAATCATATTTACCTGGGGATGTACTTATTCATGATGGCATAAAAGCAGTTGTATAAATCACTGCGAGGCAGTTGAAGATGCACCAGTGGTCTCAGTAGATGAATCCAACTAAGGGATGTGCTATATTTAACACTGCGTGATTTACAATAAAAAGTAATTACAGATTCAATATCCAGAAGCAATTCTGCTGCCTTCTCTTCCGGCACTGAAAGCTGGTCTAGAAATTAAGCATACAAATAAAGTTATCAAGAAACTATCAGAGGCTCAATGATTGGACACAGTACTTGTCTGCAAATACACTATGTGAATGCATTAGAGTATGAGAAAAACATAGTAAAATTATGAGTCCTTTTTTAAGTCTTATTAAATATACATTTTAATGAAATAAAAATATTGACGTTTTATTACTAATATAATTTGATAAACAATTCTTAAAAATATTATTTTTATTTTATGTGTATGAGTGTATTGCCTGCATGTGAGTGCACCGATGTCGTGCAATGCCATGGAGGTCAGAAGAGGGCTTCGGATTCCCCTGGAGCTGGAGTTAAGGATGGTTCGTAGCCGCCATGCGGGTGCTGGGAATTAAACCTGGGTCCCACAGCAGTCAGTGCTCTTAACCACTGAGCAATCTCTCTAGCTCACAAATATAATAATTTCAGACTATTTTATGCCTGGTGTGGTGGCACACACCTTTAATCCCAGCGCTCAGGAGGCAGAAGCAGGTGAATCTCTGTGAGTTCAAGGCCAGCCTGGTCTATATAGTGAGTTCCAGGCCAGCTGGGGCTACAGAGCCTGTCTCAAAAAAAAAAAAAAAAAAAAAAGACAAAAAAAGAGAGAGTATTTTATATCCTTTTTTGGTTCGTTTCTTTTTTTAATTGAATTTCTGCAATTTACATACAATATAATTTGATGGTATTTAGATCCCCTCCCCAATCCTCACCTTCCCTTACTGGCACCTGCCCACCTTAATGTACTCTGTTACATATATAATAAGGCCAAAAGAGTCTAATTTGTGTGCCCAAATGTCCATCAGTATGGGTCCATCCACTGGAGCCTGGTTCACCTACCGAAGTCCTATCTTGAAGGAGACATATGAGAGCACTTTTGCTCATAATTATCTTTGTTAATTTTTATTTTTTGTAGTACTGGGGATCAAACCCAGGGCCTGTGTGTGCTAGGCAAATGCTCTATCACTAAGCTACATCTAGCTCTTCTCATATTTAATAACTACTAGTTCACAGATACAAAACCTAAGAACAAAAGTTATTTACAATATATATATATATATATATATTTGGTCTTTTTGGCTGGCCTTGAACTCACAGAGATACGCCTGCCTCTGCCTCCCGAGTGCTGGGATTAAAGGCATGCGCCACCACACCTGGCTACAATATTTTTTTAAAAATTTTTCATTGTGTATATTCATTTTACACAACTTTTCATACTGTCAGGTCTCATACAAGATAAATAGGCATGAAAATGCAAATTAAATATGAAAAAAACTATAATCATTATTAATAAAATCTAATTAATCTCAGTGATAAGTGATATATACTAAATGCTGTCTTCAAATCTCTGCTCCAAATTCTTTTTTAGTTCACACTATCAATAAAGTTTGTTTGTCTGTCTGTCTGTCAATCTACTTTTGCAGTGTTGGTGATAGAACTCAGGCTCTTGTACATGCTAGGCAAGTACTCTACCACTGAGCTACATCCCTAGATACAGTTTCTGAATAGTTAGTACACAAAAGCCTATTTGACCAATAAGTTAACTAAAACATGATGGAAAGAAAAACAAAAGATGTCAATGAGCTATCAATGAATAAGGACAGACAAGAACAAGCTAAATTGACTTAGTCTATACTATTCACTCATGATTTGTAACAATTTTCAACAGACTATGATCTATGATTTACAGATAGACTTTTAAAACACAGCCTCCTCAATTTGAAGGCAGTCTACAATCTATAACTATACAAAAAAAATTTTAAAAGTACAACGAAACTGCAAATGTGTAAGATAAAAGCAAACAATATAAAATGAACAGTAAGGGACTGGAGAGATGGCTCAGTGGTTAAGAGCACTGGCTGCTCTTGCAGAGGACCTGGATTCATTTGGTTCCCAGCACCCACATGACAGCTAACAACTGTCCATAACTCCAGTTCCAGGGCATCCAACACCCTCTTCTAACCTCTGTGGACACTGCACAACACAGGTACACATAAAGACATGCAGGCAATACACTCCTGCACTTAAAATAAAAATAATAAAATATTTAAATGAACAGTAAACACTGGGCTTTCTTAAAATTATTATTTCAAAAGATTTTCCAAAGAATAGGTCAAACTATTTAGAAGTCCTTTAGAAATTCAACATATACCAAATTACAACAAGATAAAATAAAAAAAAAACTTTATTGAGAATTTCATACACGCATATATGGTGTTTTGATCAAATCCATGCCCACTCCTTCCCCTCCACCTCCTCCCATATCTCCCCATCATGTTTTTATGATAATTTCATGTACTCTTTCTTCTTCTTTTTTATTTTGTGGGGCTTTTTGCTACTCTAACATTGCCCCCTCTGAAGAGGTAACCCTAAAATCTTTTAAGGACTAAAAGCTTTTA